AATTAACGCCAACATATCATTTTTTTGAGTGTACTTAGTATTATTTTTACTTACATCCAATTAGTCTCACTATATCTGTACTTTTACTCACAATTTTTTTTTAAACTGAGAAGTACGTTTTCCGCCATCTGACACATTAAATTATAAGGAAGATCGTTTGACAGGCAAGAGGCAATAATTTTCAGGGATGCAGGTTTCAGCATAATAAATAACATCATTCTGAATTTAGTAGCTCACCGTTAAATCTGAACAATCTTTACTGACGGAGTAGCTGCAATTTACCCCAAAACATGAGTATTTGGTGACCATAATAGCGTTATTAAATCCCCAAAAAGTGTTGTATGTTGAATCATGTTGTTGTTGTGGGGACAGTTTTATAAGTATGTTTTAAGCAATAATTAGTAACAGTCTTTTTTAAAATTACATGATTTTTTCTCTCATTAACTCATGTGTAATTATTATGTTTTACAATAATCAATTTATCATCTTGTTTTTATTTATCTTGCAATGTTTCTTCTGCATCTGCTTTATAAATACTTGAAAGTTGGTTAAGCATGGTTTTGCTATGATATTTTATCTTGTGTAAAAGTTTCACACAGCAGCTGTACTTTCACTTCAGTATAATTTGAAGCATACTTTTAACACCTTAAAATCAAGGATTAATGCAACATGAACAAAATTGTTTAAATTTGCAGTGATCTCTGTGTGTGTTATATGTTTTGTATAATGACAAGTGTAAATTGATTTTTGCTGTGTTTTTAAACGACTTAAATAAAATGAGCTGAAACAACACAAATCTTGAGATTTTTTGGGGAAACTTAACTGTTTTATGTTCAATCCACGTAAATTTGTTACGTTAATTTAATCGATTTGTGTTGGGACAACGTGAATAAATTCTGTGGAATTGGTATGGACGGACGAGACGAGATGTCCCCACCAATATCCACCAATTACTGAAATGTGCCTCCCAATAATTTAATCAACTTCAAAATAGTATAATATAGAGTAGTGCAATTAATTCAGTAAATCGAAATTCAGTTTCGATTTTGACCTCCATGAATATTAAACATTAGGATAAAACACTTAAATTATGTCAGACAATTCTTTAAATGCCTCTACATTCATACCTCCTCAAAGCCCAATCGCACACTCTACTTCTTAATTAAAATGAGCTGAAATAACACAATTCTTGGGATTTTATAAGGACCACTTAATTTTTTTATGTTCAATCCACATACATTTGTTAAAAGTGTTTAGTTAACTCAATCAATTTGTGTACAATATTTATGAATTGTGTGGAACCCTGCAGTTTTTACAGTGCAGTAAAATGATGTAAATCAACTTTTGCTGCATGAGACGTGATTGTTATCTGACTGTATTTTTAAGTGTTTATTTTGTATTATTAAGTACTTTATTCATGTTTTTAAAAGCACAAAAAATTTGCTCAATGCATGCTTTCGACGTGTCTTCACCAATGTCAAGAGCGAATCTACACCCTTGGTGTTGGGACAACATGAAGGAATTAAGTTAACCGATTATTTTTTTGCAAATGTAAGGGGATTGAACATAAAACAGTAAAAAGTTGTCCCACAAAAACTGCAGAATTGTGTTATTTCAGCTGATTTTAAACAAGTAGTTTGAACAAACAACAAACATATGTTGAGTGTATACCCCTGCGTCCTCATAATTCAAAATACATTAAAATCATATACTTATGAAATCTTTTGACGTTGAAATTTTGCCACTTACCTTTATAGGCTGTGTTTAGGGTTAGAGTTGAGTTATAAGCGTTATTTCTTACAGTATAACATACATTATGCCTATGCTGCGTGTGTTTGCTTGTTCCCATGTACAGTCTTAACTCAGGGCTGCTCTGGGATTGCAGTAAGCGGGCACTTCTGTTCTAAAACTGAGTCATAGTCAGCACTTTCTCAGGTACCTCATCGACTTTAACCCGCAGCCAAACACATCCTCACTTGCACACAACTGTGGCTCTGCAACAGGCATTCCATCATCTGCCCTGTAATGAAGAGAAAGTCTCGTTAATTGCCCAGCGTAATTTATGAGACCATGGGGCTGTATGCATTATTGAAGAAATTCTCTTGTTGTTCTTTCGAGAGCAGCTCGATGCACTTGTGCCTGTTAACTCTGCTTAATTTCTCATAACGTATTTCATGAGGCAGTTGTATCGGAAGATAATCTGGCCAGAGATGATGTCTTGCTTTGGGTGGCTGATGCTCGCGGGTTGCATGCGCTGCGGCTGGCACTGTATCCAAGATACCCACGCAGTTTCCCTGGCAACCGGAGGGAGCACATGGATAAAGTGTGCGCATTAGTTAATGACGCTTATACGACACTTCTTGCCTTTTTTGTCCATCTAAAACAGTAGTATGCTAATGGTGGACGAAGGTTTGAGGATTGCATTGGGCAGCTGTGTATTGCGGTATGTTAAAACACACACGTCATAACACATGGATCTGGAGTTGCGATTGTCTTTTAAGAGTTCGGGTCGACGTCATGGCGAGCCGTAAACAGTAGACGTATTTCGCTGATGTCAGCTGAAACAGACCATTAGATGAAGGAGACGCTGCTGCAGCACGCAGACCACCGAGAGCGTCACCCTCCTACAAAACAATAGAGAGACTGTATTGTGGAAGAAAAAAAACATCAGACAAATGTAGTTAGCAATGCGCAACTAGTAATATTATTGTTAATGGATATTTAATTCCGTATATTTTCATATTTAGGAAATAACTGGTAATTTTTAGTCCAGAGGGAAATAGAGCTGATTTGGTGTGTAGCCAGGGGGTGTGCTGGTGTGTACCCCCCACAGATAAAAGGTCTAGAATTTGCCCCATACATGAGTTTAGTTTTTTAGTTTGACTGCTATGCCCTCATAAATTGTGAACCTATTAAAGAAGGCTTCCAATGAACATCTAGCTGTGCAAGAAAACATTCAATATGACAAAAGTGAAGTCATCTTTCACTACAAGTAGCCCAACTTTAATTCTGAATCTTGGGCCTTATTATTAAAAGTTATTATTATTATTATTATTATTATTATAAAAAAAAAAAAAACATTAAAAGGTTTGAAGCACCAAAACCGGCCCATATTAAAGTTAATTTTGATAGTAATTAGGCTTTTTTTATATTATTATGCATGAACTTTCAAAGACTAGAAAATCGTCAAGCTCTACATTATTATTATTATTTTTTAATTTTATTTGTATTATTCAGATGGCCAAATTCTGTATGAAGAAAGTTATCTTTCCTCAGACAGTATGAAAAAAATCATTTTGTCTAATGAAATATGATGTAATACATTTGTATTAAAAAAATCAATTGTTTTTTTGTTTTGTTTGTTTTCATTTTTATATTCTATATATTTAGCAAATAATTTTGGTGCCTCAAAAAGTGCGGCTGTGATGACCATCCAACAAGCTAATCCAGCTAAATATAGTGCTTAAAATGTCACTAAAATGCAGTATTTAAACCATATAATTATATAGAACATAAGGTGAATAATTGCAAAAATGTCAACTTTTTGAGAAAAAAAGAACTACCCTTTTCACCAGGCTGGCTACGGGCCTGAGCTAAAATATATATATATTTTTTTAGCTTATTAATTGATATATATAGTGTAACATGTGTCTTTCACCACCAGTAATTTTATATGAAGAATCCAAACTGAACAGTACACTGTTAAAAATAAACATGTACACTGCTAAAAAACTTTTAATTATGCTGATATTGTAAAAAGTTCATTTGTTGTGAACCAATGAATGCCTTTCTGTTAACCAAAATTTTCAAATATATGTAAAAAAAAAAAAAAAAAAAAAACTATTTTTTTTGCAAAACTACACTGTACAACCCAAAAAGTCAAGGTAACTCAAACCGTTTAAGGAAACCGATTGTAACAAACCATTTCAGTTCAAAAACTTGTCTGAGTACTGTGAACTCATGAAGCAAATTGAAGCAAATGAGCACAGTAAACCCCAATAAATGAAGAGAGCTAAATAAAGAAACCAGCTGAATACTGTAAAGCCTAAAATGTTAAGGCAACTAAAACAATTTGAGTTAAAAAAATACTGTGAACTTTCTCCATTTAAGTTGAAGTAATGAGGTTCATTAACTCATTACCTTCAACACTGAGTTCAAAACTCTTTTCAAATGAGTAGAATTAAGTTTTAGTAAATTTTGAGTGAACTACACTCATTTCATTTGATAAAGTTTTACAGTGTATAAAACAAGCATATGAAACCTTGTAAATTAGGTGGGCCTGAGTTCCAATTAATAAAATAAACACTGTGCAAAAATTAAATAAAGCATACATAAATAAATAAAAAAATAAACGAATGAATGAATGAATGAATGAATGAATGAATGAATACATACATACATACATACATACATACATACATACATACATACATACACACATACATACACACATACATACATACATACATACACACATACATACATACATACATAAACACATACATACACACATACACACACACACACATACACACATACATACATACATACATACATACATACATACATACATACATACATACATACATACATACAAAAATAACATTTATGGCAAAGGCAACATGCCTGTTCCCTGGGAACTATTGAGTATGTGTGGATTTAAAAAAGAATAGTTCCTCATACCCCTGTTAGTATCAATAATATTTAGTTTTATTATATTTATTTTATGCGTATAGCGTTCATTTAAGGTGCCACTTAAAATGTTAAAGTATATAATATAGTAAAGGTTAAAAACCTTGATAAATGTACCAGCAACATTTGTCACTGAAAATAAGAATAAACTCAAACCATGTATCTTATTTTAAGAATGACAAAATGGCATCAAACGCACAATTAGTAAAAATAACCGACATTCATTTCCTGGACACTTGTTGAAAATACATCCTCAAAACGAAATTCAGGACTCAGGAGTGTCATCCAAAAGAAATGATTATTTTATTGTAGCTATGTTGCCCTGCACTTTTGATCAGAACGTTCGTGTTCCTAATGAGCAGCATGCAGTCCAATTCATCATTAATTCAGATCTGTCTTCTTGATTGAAGTATTTGGGTAAGGAGTCACGGCGCGTTCATGTATTCCCAGTCTCGCTCAACGCCGTCCAATCGCCTCCAACCATAGGCGGTCCGATCCGTCCCTGTTTCACACCGCGTCCCCTCCCCGTGCCTGCCTCCTCCTCCTCCTCTCCTCCCCTCCGCTTGGCTGCCTTATCATCGCTTCCTTATTGCCAAACCTGCAAAGACAGGGCTGTACTGAATGCAGCGTAATTTTGACCCATGTTCCATTAGCTGAGCGGCCCCGAGGGCACGAGGCTTCCGCGCGGGACTGTAATGCTACACTGTCCTCCCTCTCCGGCCAGTTCATCCTCCTCAGCAGCGCAGAGCAATGGACCTGAAAGCGTAGCGCTCCTCCAGCACAGCATATCTGCAGTCACCTGCGACTCCAATTGGCAATCAATATTGATAGAGTATTTGTAAGGATTACAGCCATAAGGCAACACGTCGCGGGGGGGAAGGCTGGAATTATGAAGGTATGTCACACAGACCGCCGCATTATCGCTTGGCTGACCATCCGACACCACTGCCATATGCTTTTGTCCATTCGTTTCTGTAGGTGTACCCGCGAATTCCATTATGTCCTTGCGTGGCGACTGATGCCAGGGGAGCCACTTTGCCTTTGCAGCATTTACGCCGCGCGCGCTCTCCTTGTCAGCGGCTTTGTTTTTGTCAACTATCTCTTCCCTCGCGTTACATTTCAAGTCAGCGTGTGCGGCACGTTTCTGCGTTTAATCAGAAATGCTCGCGTGAAAAGCGCGTCTCAGACAACAATAGCAGTACATTTGCGCGAGCGCGTGAGTGAACTGTTGGTCCGCGTAGTAAAACAGCGGCCTCACGCACTCCAGTTTGGAGGCACATCGTATAGTCCTTGTTGGGTTTAAATGAACGTGGCTGTTTTATCCCCTCCATGTGTGTGAGAGACAAGGAAAGTGTACTAGAGAGTGTGTGAAGCGCTGAGGAAAACGTGTCAGACCAGTTGCGACTCTGGGTTTTGCGGTGATGTGAGGATTCATAGTCCACTCTGCTGGTAAATAATGACCATTGCAGTCATTGGCTGGCCGCACGCAGTCCCTCTCGACACCATCATAACCCTCCACAGCGTTTATGGCCACACTCATACGCATATCAGGGTGGTTTATTAGGGTTGTGACTGTGAGAGCTCGGGCATGTTGTGAGCAGATATTGTAGTTGCTCGTGTCTATGTGGGATTCTGGCAGTGCATGTGGCATTCAATGTCATTCTAGTATTCTAATCTAATATTACACAGAAGTACAATGACATTGAATTTAGATTTAGCAAATAAAGACACACTATGTTTAAGATAGACTAAAATATCTATATACAAATGCAAGATAATGTAGGGGAGATAATTGGTCATTAGTGGTGTGGTGTGTATTGCACATGACACTAAGGATGAGGTCATGGTCATGTTTCGTCATGTTTAATCATCACAAGCTAGGATATTATACAAAATAAAGCACTAAAAACATTGTTTTACCCAAATATAATATATCTAAATTTAGGTATAGGTCTTACATCAGGTGTGTGAGCATTAAGCAGGGGTTTATTATTTAAATATTGATGTAGTTGATTTTAATATGATATTGTGCTTATGTTTTTGTTATGTTATTCATATTTGTTTTTTCTGTCCAATGACTGCAGAAGAAATTTAGATATGTGGGTAATTTATTAATTGTTCATTGTCCCTGTTAATTAAAGAATTTTAAAAAGATTAGATTTTATTCCGATTTGGTTCGTTTCTGTAACAATCACCAGCGTTCTAGAGACTGTAGATTGCTGATGAACTAGAAACACATCACATGAATTACTAATTTTGTTACATCTGTGATGGGAAATGATGAAATGGAGATCCAAATAAAGTCCAGTGGGCTTATTGTGAAATGCAGAAAGTCAGGAATGAAAACATGACAAAGCATGACAAACAAAAACAAACTACTGAATATAAAAACCAAACCTGGGTACTAGGCAAGGGACGATAACCGTTTTCAAGGTATACCATGGTTTGGAAATCTCAAGGTTTTTAAAACTGCCAACAATTTCTGCTAAACCATTCCTATGGTATATGTAAGATTTCTTTATTTACATATTTGTGTTTGTTTTTTAGGATAACAGCATCTCAAGCAAAACAGATCTCCAAAAATGCCGTTGTAAATTGTAAAGAAATCTCTGTTTTAGAAACTAATGAAGAGAGCTTGATTCATTTAAATTATTTAGCCTGACATGTTTACTATTTCAAAATATTTGAAATGTTCCTCAGTATAAAACATATTGTGTTCAAAGGGGGAAAGTTTCAGCTTCTTACCCACACATTTAAAAAGTGCATAATTTAAAGCTGTAATTACAATACTGTCAAACCGAGATATTTTATCTAAGGTTATCATACTGTTAGAATCTTAAACCAGCCCATGCCTACTGGGCACACACAGACATCATGGGGGTAACTAAGAGAACTACTGACAATGATGGGCTAACAAAACCGGGCATAAATACACAAAGAAACAATTAACTAAAGCTGACTGGCAGTGGACACAATTAATAACCACGAAAACCAATGAAGAACTCAGGAGAACTAACGTGGAAGGTGTGACACGAATAAACCAAACTAAAACAAAACATAGACTGGGTCACAGTTGTCTAGTCATACTTTTTCTGCCAGAACATTATCCATTATTTTTACAGACATTTCTGTCAACCTTCAACACAATGCTGGTAAATAATTAATAAGGAAAATCCCATCATATTAATATGGTACATTATGCCCCTTTTTGAGTTATTGCAAAAAAAATTATAGTGTGCGCTAAATGTTTAATGTGCAGAATAACTACAACTGAAATAAAAGCAATATAAACCATTAGTCAATGTTAAAGAAGAAAAAAATACATTAATTATTTATTAGTTTGATTATATATATATAATAATATGTGTATAATATATGTGATAAGTATGATTTATGAAATAACATACTAAAACTTTAAATGGAAAAAAAAATGAAGACTAATAAAAATCTAAATAGTAAAAACTAAACTTATAATATAATTTATAACACTAAATAACACTAGCCTACAAAGTCAAAATTACTTTTCACACCTACACAATTTAGTCATCGTATATTAATATTGCTAAACATTTATTGGCATGACAACTGAAAGTTAATGTTGCTGAACATCACTAAACATTACATTTACCTATAAGCACACACACTTTCCTTCTTCATGATTCGGAATATAGTAAAGTATGTAAAAATCCCAACCACTGACCACTTTCACATGCTACGCATGCAGAACTGCTTCCCTAAATCACTCTTCAAAATCTCACTCCATCTTTCCCTTCAGTCAACACAATTTCATACCTCCTATCCTCTGCTCTTATTGTTACTGTATATTTACTTGTTACTCGCATAAAGGCTGCTATAACATGAAGGTTATGGACTTGAATCAACAGCCAGTAGTGTCGTTATACAAATGAGCAAGCACAGGTGTGGATTGTGTGGGGATCCATATGTATGAGGATGTGGGCAGGTGCCATGAAGTTTCATCTCCAGCATACATAGTAGTGGACTTGTAATGTGACCATTTTCAGCGCTTCCAATGGCTTAACAATGAGAAGCAGATGATGTTGTTTTGTTTGATCGTGGGATTTGTAGTTTTAAGCTAATATGACTTGAATCATGTTGACATGACATCCAGCTTGACCTCTTTTGACTGAAGAGATTTCTTCCGAGTTCCAGATTGTTTGTTTTTATTCAGGAGGAGCCTTGACTGCTGATGTGAAGAAAAAAAATTAAACCCCCTGGCTCTTCATCGCTTTAATGGTTCAGCACATAACGGCAGACCGGTGTACCTGAGGCTCTTTACACAGTAGCCAACCGCAGTATGATGCCACAGAGAGATTTTAAACATGTTCAGGAGTGACTTGATCTTATTGGGATCTCATTCGGAAATAGTGGAGTTTTGATTGACTCACCACAATCAGTCTAACGAAGCTTGTGCAGACGTTTTAGCTGGTTTAAAATGAACTGACCTGCCTTAAAGTGCTACAAACCTCTTTGAGTCTAGCTGGAAGACAAAAAAAAAGTGGTTTAAGATGTATTTTTCTGTCCCTCAGAGAACAGGGTGATGATGTGTAGTCTTGTGTTTGGCTGATTTTTGGAGCTTGAGTTAATGTTCAGTTCTACAGTACAATGAGATCAAGACGTCCCGTAATGATTAGCTTCAAAGAGAAAGCAGAGCGCTAGAAATCGCATTTCATTCTTCTCTGATCTTCGATCTTGTTGCACAGCATGAACGATAATTGATGTGAAAAATGCTGTGTTAGATGTCGACAAAATCTTTTAGCCTCTTAGTGAAGCTCGCACCCAAATATCCGATCTCAGAAAGTCATCCGCAAAGCTTTGATCTACATCCCGCTCTTTGGCCCAGTGACATCTAGACCTTTAGTTTTCAATTAAAGCTGTTCTTGATTTGAGTCTGTTTATCGACTCACCTGAAGAACCAGGATTTATTTTCTCTCTGCACTTCATCTTTGACTGACTCGCTCAGAGTTCATATGAACAGCTAGTGTGTTTAATTTGTTTGAGCTCTAGCATGCTTGTTTTAAATCTTTAAGTAAACCTTTGTTCTACAGCTAATCCAGATTTACTTACACAACCTACAGTATGTGCAGTGCAAAACATCAGGTCACTTTGTTTTTGAATGAAGTCTTTTTGCTCACAAGAATTTCAGTTAATTAAAAAAGAATAAAAACAGGAGTGAAGTATTATAATTTAAAATAACTATTTTAAATTGAAATATATTAAAATGTGTGATTTATTCATGCAATGGCAACACTAAATTTTAGCAGTCATTGCTTTAATCTTCAGTGTTGAGTACATGACTCTTCAGAAATCCTTCTGGAGTGCTGTTGTGATCTTTTTTTTATCATTATGAATATTGAAAACCACCACAACAGCCATATCACCCTGCAGCCCAAGACAGTTTACTCACTGAAGTTAAGCAGGGCTGAGCCTGGTTAGTACCTGGATGGGAGATCACATGAGGAAAGTGTTAGTGAGGCCAGCAAGGGACGCCTAACTTGCAGTCTGTGTGAGTCCTAATGCCCCAGTAAAGTGAAGTTGACACTATACTGTCAGTGGGCGCCGTCTTTCAGATGAGACCTTAAACTGAAGTCCTGACTCTCTGTGGTCATTTAAAATCCCATGGCACTTCTCGTAAAGAGTGGCCAAATTCCCTACATCAGCCCTTATCGATCTTGGCCTTGCAATCATCCCTATCTACCGAATTGGCTCTATCACTGTCTCTCTACTCCACCAATAGCTGGTGTGTGGTGAGCACACTGGCGCCATTGTCCTATGGCTGCCGTCACATCATGCAAGTGGACGCTGCACACTGGTGGTGGTTTAGTGAGACGCCCCCTCATGCTTGTAAAGCACTTTGGGTGTAATGCCACACAAAAA